TCATTCATAAAGTATTATTTTATCAAGTAATAGTTTATCTAGACAAAAAAAATATTTTCGCGTTTGGTGGTAACACCATATGTAGTTTGAAGAGAAATCGACTTTGTGAGTTCTTATATTTCTAAAGTTTAGATGTGTCAATAGAGAGAAGATACCACTCAAAAGAGGTATCACGATTTGGAAGGAATTATATATACTTGATTATTGAGTGAAATAATATTGTTTGCTAAATTAACGAAAAATAAAGAGAAAGCCGACATTCATAGAAAACAGTAAACAGTTTGTGTACAAATACAGTAACTGGCATTGCATCGAAAACTATCTAAAATTACAGGGTCAACATTCGTCACGCATCAACTTACATTGTTTGTCTCATCGTTTTACAAACATTTAGGACATTTCTTCCAGGACTACTTTAAAAGTTATCGCGACATCACAAAATGTTTTAATATTTCTTAATGAGAAAAAAAACGTGCTTATAATGATAAACATTAATTTTATCATAACTATTCTTACAACTTTTGGAGAATATTGTATATATTTTAACCTGTGTTGTTTATGTGTTTGAAGATGTGGAACAAAACAAATTCATTACATTACCAAAAATTCATTTCAATTTCAAAAATAATTCTTAACGGTAAACATTGGAGAATTTGGCAATGAATAGTTGTGAAAACAGGAAACGAAAACATATTTCACTTAGTGTCACGCCACCGCACAACCCATTTACTTTCCTCCTTTGTTGAGATGAAGATAACGCATTTAAAACCAGTTTCCTGCCGAGTAAACCCCAAAAGAGAGGGCACGGACCAAGGACGAGGACGAGGGCGAGGGCGAGGAGGAGGAGGAGGAGGGTGGGCGGGTTAAGGTTCTCAAGAGGTCGACGGCACTTGTCCGGAAACGGGCGAGAGAAGCTCGCGGCTCCGGATTTGGAGTTTTTAGCTCGCGGATGTTGGTAGCCACGGCTGCCTTGGACAGCGCCGGAACTTGTTAGCGTGGATTTATCACCGGAAATTGTAGGAGGCGGCCACGCAGCGCCTTGCCGCTGCTCGCGGGGTCTCGGTAATTTACTCTGATGTTTATTTAATGGCCGCCCGGCGCGAAATACTCCTTTCCCGCCATTGCCACGCGGCCGCCGCCGCCGCGGTGTGGGACTTTGCGGTACAAAAGACGTTCGTTCGCCGTGCCTCTAAGAAAAGATGGATTAAGAGGAGTTAAAAGCAGCCAAAGTTGGCTCTAAGGCGCACCTAACCAATGGTAGGCCTCTCTCCAACGGGGAAGCTTTGAAAACTTTGCTCAGAAGGGTTACATGTATTTTGTTCCTGACGCTCAAACCGCAACCTCGGCGGATTAAGCTGGTAGGACGTAACCGTTGTCTCTACAGCACATCTAGCACGAGTGTTTAAAAATAATACCTCTCGTTAAATCACAGTGGAGGTTTTTCATTGAGAGGTCAACGATGGTATTGTAATCACGAATGATGTTACTACAAAAAAAAGTGATTTCAAGGAAATTTTGGAATTAAATTTCTTACTGATTCGAAATCTTCTGCCCATTGAATGTAAACGATATTACGTAAGAATCGCGTTATTTCTGCTTCAAATAAAGTCAAAAGATTATAGCAAAACTCTGAAATGATATATTGAACAATTCAAAAGACGTAGGAATGTGGCCCGTAATGGCATTTGGGGCCTCTACTTTTCTTTTCTTCTCGACTTTTAGCGTACAAAAGGGGCTTGTCACGCCCGCCCGGTGCACAAAGAAAAGATGGATTAAGAAGATAACTGGTATCCGGGACGTTGGCTATGACGTCATGCAGGAGCTCTACACGCGTGCGTGAGCGCAGAGTTGGGAGGAATTGCTCCCCAGGGGCCGCGCGTGCTGACGTTACAGAGAGGAGAGAGACTTGGGTGCAGCCTGGAAAACTTCGGGTTGGCTTGACTTTACTCTGTGAGGGATCTCACTTGACAGGTGTGCCATCCGTGTTAGTTGTTTTAACAGTGGTAGTGCAAGTCTGTATTCGTAATTGCAACTCTGAGAAGGAGAGCAAGAACATTTGTAATTTACGACTCGAGTCTCGTTATCGCTCCTGGACAAGCAAATTAAAAAACTATAATATATTTTTTTAGCATCAGCAAGTTTTTTAAATGTTAGTCAAAGAGGTAAGAAATTACAGTACAAAACGGGCGAAATTTTGGCGAAATAATTTATATATTTGTATTAGATTGTAATCTGACCTATGAGGGTAACAATTTGTTTTTGTGTGTGCCAGTTGCAGTTGAATTGATTTGTACTTTCCATATATCGTTATTAATTTCTTTGAAAAACGATTCATAAAAGGTTTTGTTGTGTTTATTCATTATTACAACAAAATAATTGTGTTCTTCCTCAGTAATTTCAGAAAGCTGTAGCTGTAGACTTTTAAAATAAATATTTTCTTTGGAATACAAGAATGTAATTATTAAAAATTCATATTAATATGTACCCTCTATAAAAATTATCATTGGTTGATGCATCTTTTAACTGAAAACAAGTTTGCAATAAGTGTAAGAAGTGTTTTGCCTACAACCTTCACGCAGCGGTTTAATGCACAAGTTGTGCACAAATGATTTACTCCAACCCGTTAATAATGTATTTCACAAGTGTAACACCGTTGACAAATTATTTTTACAAATAAACAGTAGAACCCCGGGAATCTGAACTAATCAGGGGTGTGGTCTGTTCTATCCGGAAATATTATTACCGATTTTGCAAGTTTCTCTAAGTAAGAATTACTGCTACATAAACCTGTAATTGACACCGAAGTAACCAGTGCAATCGACGTTTCATTTCCACATTTTCAATAATTAGTTGTTCAGTTCTACAGTAAATACAAAATTGTTTCTTTACACTACAAATAAGCATTTTATTTGTTTTGTTTATTTTCCCTCCATCCCAAATTTTGTTCGGATTATCGAAAATTTCGGATTTGCGCGATTCGGACTAGCGAAGTTCTACTGTACCCAGGAAGCTGGAGCAAGTTCTAAAAAAATCTGTTCCACTTTCTAGACTTTTTATATATATGAATCAATTTGAAAAGTATTGAATAGAAATTGCCCCTAGCAACTCTAAAGGCCGAAGTATGCCGACAAAGCACTGTCGGGAATTGTCGGTCTTGTTACCGGAAGTTGAGTTGGTGGCGACATCTGCTAGCGCGGGCGCAGCCGCTCTGAGCTGCGGCGAGGTTGACGACAACTTACGTGCTCAAGCCAGACGTTAGTGGTCAGGATCTGGTCCTTGAGATTCTGAAACAAACAGAAATGAGCAAGTGGTCAGCAGCTGGCGACAGAACTCTACTAGTTAGAAATTCGTAATGGTACGTAACGTTCAAACTGAGAATTCTGACTTGTGTCAGAGAAATTACAGTTGCTAATTCAGGCCAAACGTTTTATTGGTGTTTGTGAGTGGAGTATGTAACCATGGTTCGTAAAGGTCATTTGAAAAGTACGCCAAAATAATTAAATGTAATTTTATTGGTTTGTAAGAATTTTTATTTTGTACAAAGAGTGTAATGTTTTGGTCAGGAAATTTATTTTATAAAACATTTTTAATCTATTATATGAATGGGTGAAAAGCAGAACGATATAAGCGACATTTTATAAATTCTGAGAAACACGTGACTAATTTTGGCTATATTTTAGTGGGAATGTATTTTCGTGGTTGTAATGAACAATTAAAATGCCGTGGTTTTAATGATGAAATAAAGCACCACGACTTATCAGTGATATTGACTTAAATATATTTCTCTTAATTTATAAAATGTCACTTATACCGTTCTGGTTTTCACACATTAATACGTTTGTTACATTATTTTGAGATAGATTTATGTTTAAATAAATTAAAAGGATAATTATTACCCAATTATTAAATAACATTTGTTTCAAAACTAATTTTCCACTTCAAAGAACTGAGTTAATTACATGCTCTTTTAATAAATAAATTACTGGTATGTGCGATGTGGTTTCACACATAATGTAATGGTAGGCACTTATTTCAGGGTAGTTTTACAGATACGCAGATGTGTTGTTTTCCAAGAAATTGGACAAATTATTCTCTAGAAAAACCTTTGATTTGATATATACTTTTGGCTTCTCTGTTTTTCTTCGATATATTTCTTCTGAGAGAAAATCGAATGACAAGAAATATGTACATATAGTTTCATTCTTGTGGCTTTTTGATTAAACTCAGATAATTTATATGAAGTCAATTTAAATATAAATACAATTATAAAGCTCATTTTATGATAATTGACTTTCAAATTGATGACATTTTAACCACTTATCAACATAAACCTGTGAGAACTACAAAACCCTACACTCAAACGTTACATGGTACTTACGGGTACTTACGTCATCACAATTCCTGCAGTTATGGTTCAAAATATCCAATCAAAAAATGCTCAAAATTTATTAAAATATTTATTGCAATTTCGATGCATATGTGACGAAGTTAATAACGTATCACGTAAACAATGCCTCCATTAATTTTAATGTTGCCACGCAACAAATACCAGACAAACGATACCGCACCGGACACGGCAAAGAGAAACCCTACATAATTCAATGGCGATGCACTGCCAAATAAAATGCGGCATGGATGTATAAATTTTGCATTTTCAATTACGCACACGCGGGTGCTGTCGGTTTGTCTTGCGTCACCTCCCCCCCCCAACGATTTATGACGCCGCGGTGGCGTCCCGCCCGACGAGACGCACAACTACGGGCAAAACGGGCGCTGTGTATCCCCTCCCGCACCTGCACCCGACCCCATTCATCGCCGTCACTTCTTTGGGGCCGTTCTGACGGGGAGGCAACTTTTATTGAACGAAATTCCCCGAGCGACCTAACAGGACGGAGGACGGAGGACGGGACGGGAGTAAAGAGATGAGGGTGCCGCGCTGTCGGGACGCGGCAGAACGGAACGCTCAAGCGGAGAAATATCTTTCAAAGCGAGTGTAACAAATGACGTCGTCGGGGAAACTATTTCTCGCGAAGGCGGCGGTGGCGGAGGCGGCTGCTGCGGTGATGACGACGGTGGGTACACAGATGGAGGCGGAAGTAGCGCGGTCGCAGAGTAGATGACGAGGACGACGTGATGAAACTGGTTGGATGCTTGCGAGGTCAATAGAAGTAAGTTTCAGGTAAAACTATAATAATGAGAGGGAATGATGAGATTCAATGCCATAAGCAACGCCTGTTGATAACGATTATTGAAATGTGGTAACGGTTTGAGTCATTTCTGGCAAATTTGTAGATTTCCGTGGCTGTGAGAGGGTGGGTAGGTGGATGGGTTGATGGGTGGTTGGGTATTGGTTTGTGGGGCGCGTCAACTATTTAGGTCCTTAGTCCTACTATTGTGTAGTGCATGTTATATTGCGGAAAGTGTCCCGTTCCTCCCTTCCTAAAACGGAGATCCCTTGCCAACTTACACATCGAATCACGGGTTTCCCTCTCCAGGTATCCCCCGCAGCGTGGCAAAACTTCAGCTGAAACAAGTTGTACGCTTCGAAATAATATCCCGGTGTGTTTGGTAGAACATGTGTGTGTGTAAGGAGAGGAGCGGACAAGATTGGAGATGAGTAGGTCGCGTGCGGTCGGCCATCTGTTTGTTGAGACATTTCTGCGGCTTCATTGTTTGGAGAAATCAAAACTGTCTATCAGAACAGATGACTATTAGAATTCTCCTCCAGACAGTGGTTGAATACAACCCAGCTTTGTGACTGTCGAGAATTCTTCACCTTCTGGACTACCTCCTACACTAGAACCTTCCATGAGCAAAGCTTGTGGCACGTAGCACTGGAGTAGATAATGGATTCGTCCAGCGACGTGTTAAAGCATATGTGAGTCGTCTCTCCAAGTGCCGTGGAAAGGGGCTTTGGTGTAGCGGCTAAGTGCTTTCGCAGCGAATTGAAAAGCACCAACAGGGTTGCGTTCCGGTCTCCAGGAGTTAGACTTAAGCTGTGTCTCTCTCGCCGCAACTGTTCTTGCTGCCACCGCCGTCGCTTGGCGTGCGGTGCATTTTTCAGCGCCTACGCGTTTTAAAAATGGCCTGCCCTGTTTCGACGAGGGCAGGGTAATCGCTGAGTGCTTATGTTATGCTACTCTTTGTCGCTTTTTTGCGAAATGAGGTCACACACTTTGCGTAAATGTATGTTGTTCAGTGCACAAATAATGTATGTTGGTTTCCGTGGAGAGAGCACTTAATGCGACGCGCTTTATCATCTTTGAGTAGACGCTGTTCATTTCAAACACACTTTACCATTTTACGCATAATTTATGTAAGCGTCACCGTACTTGGTATGTTATTAAGAGTTTCCAATGAAACTGCAAAAAGGAAACTATTTTGCGAACAATAACTGTACTTGATTTAGATCTGTAAGTATATCTGTACTTCGGTTATTTTTATTTGATGATTCATAGGAATGCTCAAAGCAACACACATCATGTTCTTAAGTGTTGCTTATTTTAAGAGCAGTATATCAGTGACAAACCCTTGATCACTGAAATTCATCCCGATTGTCTGTCATCCAGAATGTTGTTACGCACACACAATAGTAGTTTTTTGTATTACAGCATTATAAAATAACCTTTTCTGTTGCAAGAAATCGTTCATAATCGGGCATTTTACTGCACAAATGATGACGTATTAGATTTTATGTCACGAATGATTGCGTCATCACACATTCAGACAATCGAAGCGAGAGAATCGGGGGAGGTAGAGGTAAACGGAACAGTCAACCACCGTTTCCTCGCACGATGTCAAATACCCGAGTCATCACAGGGAAGTTGTTTTGCAAAATTAAGTTTCATTCTCTTGTAAATTTATACTGCTGTTATACACAAAATATGGTATGCAACTCCTTTATAATGTTGCTTTATTCGATTACAAATTTGAAAACTCGCTCCTAAAGTCACTCGTTTTCAAAATATGTACTCATGCAATAAAGCGTAACATTATAAACTAATTGCATAAATTAATATGATGCAATTAGTTTATAATGTTAAACTTTATTGCATGAGTACATGTTTTGAAAACGAGCGACATTAGGTGCGAGTTTTCAAATATTTACGAATGCAATCAAGTAACATAAACGAGTAACATACGCTATTTTGTTGTATAACAGAATTATAAATTTACAAGAAAATCAAACTTAATTTTGCGAAACAGCTTTCTTGTGACGTCTTCGGTATTTGACATCTGTGCACGATAACTGAGGTCGGCTGTTCCGTTTACCTCTACCTCCCTACGAGTCTTTCACTGCGATTGGGTAAATGTGTGATGACGCAATCATTCGTTTAATAAGATCTGATACTTCATCATTTGTGCCGTAAAATGACCGATTATGAACGATTTCTTGCAACAGAAAAGGTCGTTTATAATGCGAGCATAAAAAAACTAATATTATGCAACTAGTTTATAATGTTAAGCTTTACTGTACGAGTACCTGTTTTGAATTCGAGCGGTATTAGAAGCAAGTTATTAAATTTGCACGAATGTAATAAAGCAACATTATAAAAGAGTTGCATGCGCTAGTGTTTTTATATAGCATTATAAATATCTAAGAGTATGAAAGTGAATTTCGGGAAAGATTATTGTGATGTTACGGGTATTAGACATTTATGCGAAAAAATTGTAGTAGGCTGTTTTCCGCTACCTCCTCACAATTTTATCGCTGCGGTTGGTTGAATGTGTAATGACGCAATTATTTATGCCATAAACGGCAAATACTTCATAATCTGTGCCGTGAGTTGTCCTTTTACGAACCATTTCTTGTAATGATAAATGTTTATCCTGCTGGAGTAAAAAAAACTTAGTTATGTTCTTGGAAGCAGAAAAAGTGTGCATCATATTACTTTGAAATTAGGTACTTCATGAAAACTACTGAATAATTACATATACCGCACGGGTACTTTTTGACATCGTAACATCGTAATATTCACAGTCAGCTCACGAAGTTCATGTTTTTTCATCTCCTACATCACGAATCGACATTTTCTACAAGTTTTTGTTGTATGTCAGCGGTGATTATCGTGTATTTTACAGGTGGGTTTGATGTTACAAATGGAATGAAATGATATGAATATTTAATTTTTAATATTCTGCAAGCGTAGATATTATTCATTGCCTGCGAGTATTAATTATGATCCATTAATTTGCATATAAAACAACTGAAAACTGAACGTAACGTTTTTAGTTTTTAATATTTGAATAGTTGTATTTACAGACGTTAATTAAAAATCGGGAATATTCGAGAGCTCTGTGTGCAAAAATTGTTCTGTGCTACTTTTATTATCTTTCAAGAATAATTTGATAATAGTTAGTACACTGTTTTTTATTAAGAAGTATACCGCTATTCGCTGATAATGCATCACGTTTCAGCCAGGTGAATATTTTTCACGTTCTCGTAATTTAGTACTCGTCTTTGGCACAAAGAATATATAATTAATTAAAACATTTATCATTAAAATAATTAACTATTTATTATATTTTATCGCGTCAGTTTCTGTAGATAGGTGACGAATAAAGCTCAGGCGGGCGGAGTTTGCTAGTTACGGTTAGAGGAATTGATCATCATTGCCACATGTCTCACTTACTTCCCAAGCATGGGAATTAAGCTAGGTCCAAGTATTGAGTCACCTTCTTTTATTCGGCAAAGTTGGACAATTGATCCAAAATGCCAAATAAGTACATTATATTTTATAATAAATGAAAAGAATCATCTGTACTTTTAGGCTGTAACATTTCGCCTAGCATTCTTACTTTGTTTCAAGTTCGAAAATATTTTCACACTCAATATAATTTACCAAATTGAGACTGTAAGGGTAAGTCTCTTCTCAACTCTCTAGTTTTTCTGTTAAAAGTGCTTTCCAGACTTACTAGTATTAAGCAGAAACCCGGTCATGTCATTATCATCAGTCTGACTACTAGAATACATTTGTCCTCTTCGTATAAATATTCACCAGGGTAACAAGTGAGTTTTAGCTGCAACGTTAAGGCGATGAGTGCGGTTCACTGATCGCAGTGGCTTCCTCCTCCCCCGCCCTTTGATGCATACCATCACGCCCAGTCAGGCGGCTTAGGCGACCCCTGTTGGATGCAATATGCAAGTGCTTTTGGGAGGACGTCCGCAGGGGCAGGGAGTCTGGACAGAGCAGGGCTGAGGAGGGCAGGCCAGGGCACAGGGTAGCAGCTGACGGCCGCGCCGCGCTCGACCCCCGCCGCCTGCATTAGTTACGCTTGCCGCTGCGCAGCTGTCGACTTGGGCGCCGCACCCAGTGTTCCCCTCCCAGAGTTCCTCCCCTCCCTTATCCGCAATCCCCTTCCCCTCCCGTCCCCTCCCCCACCCCTCCGTGATCTGCTCTTCCCGGCCCCCTTGTCCCCTGCCATCTTCTCGCTTGCGCCCCGCAGTCCTTCTGCGCCTCCACGACCTCCCCAATTGATTGCAATAGTTATTTTGGGCGCGTCAATTTCTAACGTCATTAGTCCCGTGAGTGTATTGCATTTGTTTTCAAGAGGTGGCGGTAATTTTTTCTCTAATAATTTTGGATGTTAAGATCGTGTGTCGTCCTTCTCGCCCGCAAGCGGGGTTTTCTTCAACCAGGTTTCCTCATTAGCAGGACACTGCTACAGACGGGACAAGCTCTAAGCCCGGAATATACGTGAAAGTGTAGTGCATCTGATGGTGTGAGAAAGTGTGTGCAAGTATGGGGTGAAGATAGAACAAAAAAGAGGAAGGAATGATCGCGCGCGGTCTGTGGCCCGGGCGTACAGCTCTGACATTCGCCTGGTGTTGATGGGAGAAGCCATGGAAAAGTACTGATCAGAGCAGCCGGCCTCAAGAATTATCCTCCAGACAGCGACTGCATAAGAGGCAGCTATCTACCTAGTCTCGAAAATCCTGCCACCCAGTTAGGACCAGCCAGTTAGAGGCACTGCATTGAGGCCAATTGCATCGTTTATTTCAGAAAACGTCAAACGCCAAAATACAAAACACGCTTTAGCGACGGATTATTGTTCCAGGTAGATATACGCATCATTTAGTGCATATTAATATGAAAAAATATCCATTTATCAACTCCTTTAATAAAAAAAAATTGAAATCTCAAAAATTGGGAGACTTATTCTCAGTTTTCTTGGAACGAGGAATTTGGCGTTTAACGTGTTTCTGAAATAAATGATTCAATTCATGTCCTGAGCCACCTTTCCCGGTCGCCCTTGCCGAAGGTCACCTCGCACTCACACGCGTGCGCTCGCGCATGCGCATGCGCGAGTGGCAGCTCTGAACTTCCGGAGGTGCGCCCTCTCGCTCTTCCTCTCGCTCCCCGGAGAAGAGCGCGAGCTCCCAACTTGCCATGAAGGACGCCCCGTGTTGCTTTTATGAGAATTGGCCTTCAGCGAGCAGGTGGTTTAGTGGAGAGCGCTGCCCTCGGTAGAGAGCAATTTGGGTACTAGTTGTCACGCTGTAATGCTGTTAGGGAGCGGAAGTTAGACGAGTTCGAAATTGTTATGAACCACCTGCCCCTCCTCGCCTGAGACGCTTTGATAAGCACCCTTTTCATTTAAACTTGAGAAGGTAACGAGTTGAAAAGTTGAAGCGTCAAAATTCATTCGGCTTAGATGAATTTTGAAATCACTTCTCTATAAAACAGCAAGAAAGAAAATGCCTTTTAATCTATTTCTCGTTTTAATAAACTCCATATAGTGTATGCAAATTTTTCTCGTTAGCATTTATTGAAATAATACAATCTCTATTGCAATTATCTATTGATTATTAATGTATTTTTTGAAAGAAATCAGGTGGAAAAACGTGTAAAGCTTGTAAGAGCGCATTTGCACATACTAGTAGTGTTTTAGTACCTAGTACTAAAACATTTTGTTAAGTGAATAATTTCTTGCGTAATGTAGGTTGTTTTATCTTTAACTAAGAAACGCCTCTATATAAATGTCGCTTAATATAATTAATATCAGTATTGAATTTGAAACCTTAATTCAAAATTCAGTCTATATGGTATACAAGAACTAATTTAATTTGCTTTTTGTTTCCAGGACATGGTATGTAACAGTGTGTTACACGTCTTCTTCCGAGAGAGTGGGGTTTATGGTATGTGTGCACATGCTTATTTTATTTTCTATTAATTGAAACTTCTTGTTTCCTAATTATACATTTTCTACACATTATGATGTTTTATTACTTTTGTTATTTTTGATGCAATATTTATCAAAAAGAAAGAGATGCCCAACCAAGAACACATCAATTATATGGTGTCTGTGTTATTTGCGATACTGTACATTTTCATCATTCTTCAACTATCGTTTTGAGTATTGCTTTTTTTGTTATTTTATATAAAGAATTTCATTAAAAATCAACATATATGATTATCAATACTTTAAAACATGTTTTATTTTTTATATTAGCTATACGTAAGAAAACCTTAGCATATGCAATGTAGAACTCCATCTACAAAGTCCATAAGCACGACCTCCAAATCGGCTCCGCAAATAAGAAACAGAAACTCAGATGCATCTGAGGATCCCTGTCCTCTGATTTGCCTCGGAATAGCCCCCTCGACCGCCCCCGTGCGTTTTATGTCCACTCGGGCGGTCGGCCGAAGGCGTCCCCGCGCAGCGAGTGACGCGGGCATAACCCCCCCTCACACACGCGTGTTACGGCGCGGCGCTGCGAGTTGTTCGCGCGCGACCGCTGACATTTCGCCGCGGGGCGGCGCTGCAGACGCCGCGAGGAGTCGTGAAACGACGCAGGGCGGCGCAGCCAAAGACTCTGAGATAGAATTACACTAGACCAGCGCCACCAGCGAGAGTCCGCGGCACTGGCCGCGTAGCACGACGAATTCGCCTCGCCACAAGAGTAAGTAGTCATTGGTAGTCAAAGTCGCTCTGAATGATTTTACACATGAAATGCGATTAGGCAGGATTTAGATACGTAAATTTTAGAACAGTGTGTTGTAATTTTTTATTTCTATTTCATTTTAACATTGTTGCTCCAAACACTATAGTAAATTTCATCTTTTTTCACCATTCATGATTTCATATTCAGTCTTCTGTTTCATTCCATAGCGTTTTCATATGTTATTCTTTTTATTTGAAATAATAGATTACACTCTAAACATTTCGCGTGTGTACCAATATTTTCACATAAGAACGCTTCCTTCTAATCTGGATCAAAATAGTTAAAACCCTGGAAAACCCTGCGGAAGGTTTCTATAACGCCCTTACTCTCGAAAAACTGCGGCGTAACTACTGACAGAGTCCTGTCCTCACGCTAGTTGCGCAGAGAAGCTCGTGGCATGCCACGGAGTTACTAAGCGTGCCACTGCCACCAATAGGCGAGCTTGACATCACTGAACTACACTGAGAGCAGTGCTGTCACAGGGGTTGGTTTGATTCTCGAAGTAAATCTTCAGTGGAAATTGCATCAAAAGGCGGAAGTCTAGCAGGGTTCCCATTGTGACAACCTTGTTGCAGGATTGTGTCAATGCGTGATCCCATCTACACTCTAAGCTAGCGCAAATTATAGTTGCACCAAAAACTTTATGGAATGTACTTGTGTTTGCTTTTAATATTTGTTTTTCTCTTAGTTCAGAAAATGTTATTATTTTATATTTTGGCGAGAAATATAACTATTTAATATTTAATATTTAATATTTTCTTCTATACACATTTAATTTGAATTTATTTCTCTTTACTGGTTCCGTTTGGATCATGGCAATTGCTTTTTCTTTATTTTTTTTGCTTCTCCTTGGCTGTAAATGAAATTTGGCTAACGAAAAGGTCAATGGCAATGTTACTTCTAAAAATCCTGATTAAGATTTGGGAAGTAAAATTTGTTTCAAGGTCCCTGAGGCGAAAAGGGGACTTTTACTACGATGACTGTGAGAAGTGTGTGTGTGTGTGTGTGTGTGTGTGTGTGTGTGTGTGTGTGTGTGTGTGTATGTAACATGTAATTCGGGCAGCTTGAAGATTTTGTTCTCTAAATTGGTATGCACGTCAGGTGTAAGGCCTGTTAGAGTCGTGACAAATGTGCTTAAAGTCGATACAAATGGCGAGACACTAGAACTCATAGCTTTGCACTAAAAAAGTTATAAAAAATTGTAAAAAATGCCATTTATGGTAAAGTACGAAGCTGCGAAAATGTGCGGTTGCGGTATGCCAGTCCCATTACTTCTAGTTTCCGCCACCCACATCCTCTGGTGTAAAAGACTTACATAATATTTTCAGGTGAAATAGGCAACTCGTTATAAATGAAAAAAAAGTAATGTGCGAAAAAAGTATGTTTTCTGCTTTAAATAATTTACGCAAGTATGGAAAGACGAATTCTTTGCATGCCGTCCCCGTATTCTGATCTACTCATCACCGAGCCCGTATGATTTATTTAGCAACAATAATCTATTGTAACATAATTCGTATGTAATAAATTATTATTCTGAAGTTGTTGAACTAACGATTATATCTAGATTAGGTTTGTGGATGCATTGGGTAGTTTGGTGTTACCGTGCATTTTTGCCGTGGATGAAAAACAAATTACATTTCTTCCAAATCATTGCAATATTCAAATTTTACAATTCGCTAGACTAACAAGGCTTGGAAATGTTTCGTCATCCCTCTCATCGTTTATTCAGGTTTATTGATGTATTGTGTTTCTTGACAAATTCATAATTTTTATTAATACTGACTAATTGAAATCTGCGTTCTTGTTTTTGAGCAAATCGTGTAATAAAAGTAAAAATTGCCTTTCTTATATTATTGGTAGACTTACTATTACACATGACTAGAATTACATTCCATGATGTTCTGTTTTTTTACTTTATATAATGTCTTCTTTAAACGATGTTTTTTTCCAATTTTCAAATTGCCAGCAAATTTTGTGCGAGTGCAATTATACACTCACACAGCAAATACAGAGAACAATAAGACTTTTATATATTTATTAATGACAATGTTTAAGAAAAATACTGTCTTGTTTTACAAATCGCTATTTATCAGTAAAACGTGTCCGGGGTTCCGTGCTGGATGGTTGTTGAGATCCAGACGCTGGCCGGGAGAGTGGTTCGCCTGCGAGCTCGAGGGCGCGGCCGCCACCTGAGTTACGAGCGTCGACGCCTCGCATAAACTTGAGGGCGACGCGACGCGACGCCTCCGTCTGCTACTAAGACGCGCAGCGCGCGGCGTTACAAGGCTCTGGCCTCTGCACACGCCTCCTCGGTTCCTCCGCCACTGCGTCTCAGCCTCCGCCGCCCGCTCCCGGTTGCACCTCCGCCTGCACCCCGACATCAGCCTCCGCCCATCGCCCCCACGCCGCCCCGCCTTCGCCTCTGCCTCCGCTCCCGCCTCCACCTCCGGCCCCGTTCCTACCACGCCCGCGCCTCCGCCATCTCCCCCACGCTTGCCCCGCCTTCGCCTCTGCCTCCGCTCCCGCCTCCACTCCGGCCCCGTTCCTACCACGCCCGCGCCCCGCCATCTCCCCCACGCTGCCCCGCCTTCGCCTCTGCCTCCGCTCCGCCTCCACCTCCGGCCCCGTTCCTAACACGCCCGCGCCTCCGCCATCTCCCCCACGCTGCCCCGCCTTCGCCTCTGCCTCCGCTCTCCCGCCTCCACCTCCGGCCCCCCCGTTCCTACCACGCCCGCGCCTCCGCCATCTGCCCCACGCTGCCCCGCCTTCGCTTTTGCCTCCGCTCCTGCCTCCACCCGGGCCCCGTTTCCTACCACGCCGCGCGCCTTCCGCATCCTCCCAACGCCGGCCCCGCCTTCGCCTCTGCCTCCGCTCCCGCCTCCACCTCCGCGCCCCGTTCCTACCACGCCCGCGCCTCCGCCATCTCCCCCACGCGTGCCCGCCTTCGCCTCTGCCTCCGCTCCCGCCTCCACCTCCAGCCCCGATTCCTACCACGCCCGCGCCTCCGCCATCTCCCCCACGCTGCCCCGCCTTCGCCTCTGCCTCCCGTCCGCCCTCCACCTCCGGCCCCGTTCCTACACGCCCGCGCCTCCGCCATCTCCCCCACGCTCCCGCCTTCGCTTTTGCCTCCGCCCTGCCTCAACCTCCGGCCCGTTCCTACCACGCCCCGCGCTCCGCCATCTCCCCCACGCCGCCCGCCTCGCCTCTGCCTCCGCGCCCGCCTCCACCTCCGGCCCCGTTCCTACCACGCCCGCGCCTCCGCCATCTCCCCCACCGCTGCCCGCCTTCGCCTCCGCCTTCCGCTCCCCGCCTCCACCTCCAGCCCGTTCCTACCACGCCCGCGCGCCTCCGCCATCCTCCCCCACGCTGCCCCGCCTTCGCTATTGCCTCCGCTCCCCGCCTCAACCTCCGGCCCCGTTCCGTACCACGCCCGCGCTCCGCCATCTCCCCCACGCTGCGCCCGCCTTCGCTTTTGCCTCCGCTCCTGCCTCAACCTCCGGCCCCGTTCCTACCAACGCCCGCGCCTCCGCCATCTCCCCCACGCTGCACCGCCTTTCGCCTGCTGCCTCCGCTCCTCGCCTCCACCTCCGGCCCCGTTCCTACCACGCCCGCCGCCTTTCCGCCATCTCCCCCACGCTGCCCCGCCTTCGCCTCTGCCTCCGCTCCCGCCTCCACCTCCGGCCCGTTCCTACCACGCCCGCGCCTCCGCCATCTCCCCCACGCTGCCCCGCCTTCGCTTTGCCTCCGCTCCTGCCTCCACCTCCGGCCCCGTTCCTACCACGCCCGCGCGTCCGCCATCTCCCCCACGCTGCCCCGCCTTCGCTTTTGCCTCCGCTTCTGCCTCCACCTTTGCCACCGCCCCCCCCCTGTTGCGCCCTGATTCTCGGTGGTCTATTTTTGATTTGTAACCTTTTACACTTTACATCGTCATTCTGAAAATGTTTTCATAAACTATGCTTGTACGAATTGTTTTGGTATCTTTTTTTCCTTTCATCTACTTTTTCGTCTTCCAATTTTTTTCATTTCCAACCATTTTCAAATGTTTTCTTTCATTTTACCTTCGTCCAGATTAAATTAAGCGTCATCGAAAGAATCGTGATAGTTTTGTAGCAACAAGTCTAATAATGATATTGATGAAACGAAG